AAGATCCACCACATTATTTGTTGATTCAACCATACGTGTAACACCGTAAATTTCAAAACAAAATTTTCAATTTCTATAAAACATAATTCCATCGATATTCATAAAAAAAACCATTTAATTATCCAGACAAGACAATACAAAATCCCAAGATCATAATATCAAACTCCGAGCGTGTGTGTGTACGGATCAAGCCGACGCCTTCCCGCGATCGTCACTAGTACCTGAAACAATAACATCAAACACTGTAAGCACAAAGCTTAGTGAGTTCCCCAAAATACCACATATAACACATATTAGCCACTCGAGGCTATAACTCTGTGGGTCCGTGCACCCAAACTCTGTGAACCCTCAGGTTCTAGCTCTGATAAATATGCACCACATAAATCACATAGAAATAATGCAGTACAACACGTAACATACATAGCATACCAATACTCTATCACATAACTCTGGTTACCTACTCAAGGTAAAGTATAATGAGAAGACTCACCTCGTGTGTCTCGGTAAGTCGTAAATCTGAAATCGCTAATCACTCGATCTGCCGAGCTATAGTCCCCCTATAGCACAATACATCTCTAATTAACACTTTCCCAACTAGGGTTGACCATACTATAACAAGTCAACTTAGGTCAACACTGGTCAACGGTCAATGGTCAACTTTGACCAGACTCGGCGAGTACGCTATAGCGACTCGGCGAGTCTGAGCGTATACACCAATTTCCTTGGGATCCTCCTTTGACACGTCGATCATTCTCCCAACTCGACGAGTTCCACCTGGCAATGAGTTGTGGGGCCACCACGACTCAACTCGCCGAGTCTCAAGAACAACTCGGCGAGTCCAGTTTGACTCAGTCCACCTGTCCACTCTGACTCCCCCCTGACCCACTGAGTCCACCCTTCCCACCTCGGCGAGACCACTCACTGTTGGTCGGGCAACATTCATGCTACTCGCCGAGTCTGTTCTTCGGACTCGGCGAGTCCGTGCCATGCAATGACTCAAACTTGCTCATAAGGTCAGATCCAGTCCATTAACCCATAATCCAGTCCTTCCAAGCTCATTTAGCACGTAAAGTTACAATCTTGATGCACATACAACCCATATATGACCATATATGATGTTTTGACTCAAATACTACAACACAAGGTCATGAACTCCATTGCCATACAAAAAAGCTTGATGAGTGAGGCTCTCTGGACCTCTATGGATCCAGATCCAAAACCTCAGCACAAGGAGGGAACCATTGGGCATCAAATCATCCCATAAATGTCCACAAAAAGCCCTAAATCGCATAATACTTCACCAAACAGAATATA